GGGGCGGAGAGGTGCCGCAGGTGCCCAGGCCTGGCAGCGCTCAGCCGCCGGGGGGTGGGGCCGCCCCTGGACAGGGCGCCGGTCGCGGGTGGGTGAGGGTGTGGGCTTGGGGAGAAGGAGAATCAGGCTCAAAGTGTGTGCTAGGGGCGAGAGCTGGTGGGGAGGCGCTGGCCTGTGCCAACAGGGATCTGCGGCTGATGTATGGCATGTGGGGCTGGAAAGCTGCCATCATAGCCCAGTAGCGGAAGGGAAAACGGTGAGGTCCGGGCGGCGCTGGCCTGAGGCTCAGTGAGTCAGGAGTGACCCTCGGAAGCCTCGCCCGCTCCGCTCCCGGGGGCCTGCCTTGGCCAGGCTGGCAGGGTCTACAGGAGCAGCTGGGCAGACTCCCAGGCGGTGAAGGCCTCCGCTTACAAGTTCTCCTAGGGAATGATCGCCCCCGCCCCCTCCTTCCTCTCCCGGTTCGTTGCTCTGCTCATCCACACCGCTGGCGCAGGCAGAGTTGGACTTTTTCTGCTACTGTTTTCCGTTCTCCGTGTGTCTCTGGGTTTTTGTTTTTCCCCTCCATCGTGCTTCGCCTGTTTTGCTAAACGAGTAGTTTATCTGTCCCTTCTTAGCCCCCAGCACCAGCCAGCAGACACTCTTTTAGCAGTTTGTGAAGTGTCTCACTTGGTCCTGGTGGTGGTGAGGAGAGAGTAACTTGCTTTTGCTGAATGTTTGAAGTTCAGCTCTGACATCTTTCTGGCGGTATGTATTGACCGCGTTTCTCTTCCCAATGTTGGGTGCTGTACAGGAATGCTGGTGATTATAAAAGAAACACAAGTCTGCACATCTGTGCAGCCCCAGGATGAAGGTTTCCCATTCGGAAGTCAAGAAATGACACTTTAACAGCCATGTCTTGTTGTCCCCAAGTCCCACTGATTTCTCAGTAAGACATTTCTTTAAAAGGCTGAATCTGCGGTGATTAGTGTAACTCAGGACTGTTGGATCCCTGAATTGTGATAGAGCTCTTGAACTCGCATAGAAGTGGGTGTATTTACCAGTTTATTGACTGAACCTGGGTAGTGTAGACATGCTTGACTAGAAAAAAAAATGTGTAACAGCTAGTTGGAAAATCTGCTTTCATCTTTCTAGAGCAATCAATGCTTTTGGCTTTTGGAAGCTTCCCTCCCCCTACTCCTCTAAGAGGCAAATTTTAGACAGTTAGTTGTGGGAGTGTATCTAAGCACTGTGCTAAACCCTGATCACTTTAATGAGAAGAAACTTGCAAGTGTCTTACCATGGAGAGAGAAGCTTGGGGAAGGACAGCAGTTTACGGTTTGGATATTATTCTAAGCAATATTATTGCCTGTTTTTTTTTAATTTGGGCTTATACTCTGAAAAGTTTTTGTGATGATGACTTGAGACCAGCTAAGAATTTCTCTCTCTCCTCTTTCTTAATTCTATTAAGTACTTTATCTGAGGTCCCTTGGGGGAGTTGTGGAACTAACTGTATCTTTTCTGTGGGAAGTAGATAGTAAAAACAGGTATTGAACCTTGTCCAAGGACAGCTTTTGTTGGTTGTTGATGAATTGCTCCTGAGTGTGCACAGTGTGTGTGTCTCCACTTGATCCTTCCTTAGGGTCTGATAGCTATCGTCAGCCACTATCACAACAGGCTTCCCTGCCCTTTGTCTCCTTCCTTGCACCTTGGTTGTTTGAGCATTTAATAGTTTCAACAGTTGAATGCGAAGATCATGAAAGATTTGAAGTCATAAATATTCTCTGCTTTAGACTATGGGCATCTCGTATTATTTATGTGTAGTATAGTTCTTGCAGAGATAAATTTAGGACTGTAATCACTTGTAAAGGGAAGGCCCTCACACATCATAAATTATCGAGGAGCAGGAATGAGTATGGCAGTAAATATTTTAGAACACAAAAAAATATGCCTTGGATGATAGTGTACAGATAGGCATCAGAGGAGCTTTACATAAGAGGATGAGAAACTAAAGGGCATTTTTGTGAGAGGAGGAGACTTTAGGAATTGGAGATAGTGTGACAGAAGAATATAAGCTATGTTTTCTTATTTTCTATTATGAGATTAAAGAAAACATGTGCTGTAATAGCATGTTAAATGAGGAAACAAAATCAGTCTAACTAACCACAACACCTTCCTTGTGCTCAGCAGGAAATAGCTAACACATTCATTTTCTGTTTTCTATTCTAAAGAAAGCCCTGTGGGCCACAGGGTCATTGGGAACATTCTCTCCTTGGAGCAGATTTGCCCATTGCAAAATAGGGAAGCTGGCACTTGGAAACTGTCATTGTGGCGGTTACATTGAGCAACTGGGGTTGAATTGTTACTTTGTTCAGTCACTTTCAGCTCTGAGCAGTCTGGGCTCCAGAGGTGTGGTTCCTGGGGAGGTCTTCTAGAAACTGTGTTTGGGGAGGGGACGTAGGGATGACGTGCTACCGTATGGAAGAAGATTGTGCTTAAAAGCACACGTCTCAGTCACATTGACCCAAGGATCATCCTGGATCCTTCCCGAAAGGTCCTCATCATGGCTAGGTGCAACTGTGGAGAGAGGCCTGAGAGCCTGTGATCTAAGGTAGAGGGTAACTAGGGGTCTCTCTGGAAGAGCAATGCCTAACCAAAGGGGCATCTTTTATAGATTCAATGTATAGCATTTAGTCAAAACGACTACCTCTAGTGGTAAAGACTAAAATCTTTGCATTTCTAAGAAATTTGCATATATGGGTATGTTTTCTGAACCTTCTGTGGGAAGGGGAGGTAGAACTACAAAGGCCTTATAGGGACTGTGTGACCCTGTGCCACACTGCAAGTGTGTCCTGTTCCTTACATAGTTCTCTGCTGTAAGGGGTGTTCACATGTATTTGGTGTAATTACACCCGATCTTGTTACTTTCTCAGATAAATGTTTTAAAGCCATTTCCTAATTGAATATGTTCAGGAGGCGGCAGGAAAGAAGACAGCGGCTTCCTTTGGGACTTGCTGACTTGTGGTCCTCCAGTGTGAGGTGTGCTTCTGGGGACTTTGAAACCAATCTGGCACCCAGATTCACATAGTAGAGGAAGGTGGTTCACAGAACTCAGTATAGCAAAAGTGGTCGCATATTTTTAAAACGATGTTTATTTGCAGAATCTTTTCTTTCCCTGCCAGCTGGGGAGCCAGCTGTGCTGCAGCTTGAAGATGGGAAAGTGAAACCAGACTAGACACTGACCAGTGCCAGGGGCTTGGTTGTAGGTTCAGGGACCGAATTGCCACCCTAATGCCATTATTTCTTGGGTGGTTGCTTTCCTCTGCAGAGAGCAATTTGTGGAACAGAAATAGCATCTTATCTTTGAGATCTTCTTTGTCCTCCTCACTGCCCCCGGCAGTGTTTGGTACTATGTCTAGTTTAGACGCTCTTTTGTGTGGATGAAACTCATAAAAGGAGCTTCCAGATTCATGTTGAAGCAATCTCAACTTTCTGATCTGTGACACCAAGTTTTGTGCGGAGGGGGGCAGCTGAGTCTGTCGTTAGTCTTTACGTGTCACCATGGGAACCCATTTTCTTTTCTTTTTTTTCTTCTCCCCCATCCAAAGGAGGCCTTATCAATTAGAGAACTTTGTGACACCATGCTTAATCACTGTGGTGACGAGTGCTAACGTGACCTGAGAGGCGGGGAAGAAAGGTCTTGCTGGAAAAGAAGCTTCCCCGGGGGTGGGAGGAGGTAGGCTGCCACACCCCCCTCCCAAATTTAAATGCAAATAAAAGAGCTATTTGATTAGCAAATGTTTTGGGATCTTTCCAGTTTACAGTCTAAATGACTAACTTCCTTGTAGCTCCCAGTCAAGGCATTTGCAGCCTTCTTGCCAGCCTTCATTAACCAGGGCTTTATAATTGTATTCTCTAGTAACAGCCTATTTTTAAAATGAAGGGGCACTTATGCTTTTTGTATAAGAAACATATTTTTATGGCTCAAAATTCAGCAAGTACATCAGACTATAGAGTGCAAGTTTTCCCTTGTCGTGCCCCCAGCTACCCTGTCCTAAACAATTGTAAACATTGCTTAGTTTTGAAATGTGTCTTTCTCTAAAAAGCAGTTTTTGTAGTGTTTAATTCTTTTTTTTTTTAAAGTAGATAGAGACTGTTAATTTTGCCATTAAGACAATTTTATGGTAAATTCTTCCCAGGTTACAACCCAAGATCTTAACTATCTGGGTTCTGTTATTTTCTGAGTCCTTTTCTTTATCAAGTCATCTAGTCAAAGATCTTTCTTTTCCATTTTACCCGCATCTTACCTAATAAATACAATTCTAGAATCAGACACTAAAATCTCAATTCAGTGTTCAGATACTTTGCAGTTAAAACATTCCACAGCCAGGCATGGTGATACAAGCTTTCAGTCCTAGCATGGTGCATTCCAGCCAAGGCTACATAGTATGCTGTGTAAGAAACAATGTGTGTGTGTGTGTGTGTGTGTACTTATATACATACTTATATATGTATTTATATATGGATCTATATATACATATTCTCCATGACAGTGGATTTGTGGGTCTTCACTAGGATGCTGAAGAGTGCCACCAAAAGGCTTGTCTCTGGAAGTGAGGGCTGAGTCTTTGTCCATACCTCAGCAGAGTCCCTGTGTGAGGAATCTCAAGATTCCATGTCTGTGCAGAATTTGACCATACTTGTATGTTGATGATTCTAGAAGGACTCGGTTACCTGAGAACTGTTAGAATGTTCACCATGAGCGGGTTAGGGAAATGCCTTTTGGGTAAGTAGAGGAGAAAGTAAATATGCAAATATCTAAACAGTGGGACTCCACCCCCTGAGTTGATTTACTGGCATTTGGTGTTTTAAATATTGACTTGGGAAAGGAATGGTGATATCAATATCAGTCTGGGAAGT